TTTATAAAGAATATCTCTTTGGATTTGAGACTTTAGTCTTTGCAACTTTACAGATCTTCTTTATGCACCAAGAGCTTGTAACACTTCAAAGAGAAAGGAAAAATTTAAATTGCATCATATGACCCCTTTAACAACCAATATTTTATGATTATTTAAAGTGTCAAAGAGCCTATATGCTGATTTTACAGATTTTAAGTTGTTTTAACTATTTTTATTTGCCGAATAATTAGAATAATAAAAATAATGTTTAAAGTGTTTATAAGTAAAGTATTATTATTTTCTTTATTTTAAGCTATATCTGCTAATATGACACAGTATTTACTAAATAATAATAATGTAATTATTATTATTACTATTTTATGCCATCATATTGCTACAAAGTTTGAAATTACTATTATTATTATTATTTATGCAATCTTATTGCTACAAAGTTTAACATGGTAATTCTATAAATTAATATTCTAATTTAATCTTTCCAAGGAGGCAAGGGAGGCAGTGTCTCCTCTCCTCAAAAGTGGATGAGAAAATAATCGATATTACAAAAATAAAACAACGCAAATATGACTAAATATGACATTAATAGTCTAAAAGTCACTCGGTTTTATAAAGTAACGCTGTCCAACAGCGACACCCGCAGGTAAAGTTACATGGCCGTGGGAACTAGGGGTGCTGAGGGTGCTGCAGCACCCCCCGCCGCAGGGCCGTGTCTGAGATTTTCCTTGTGCCCCTCGATCATCCCCAAGATACTTAATTTTTGTGATAGTTTTGTGATTAATTATTTGATAAACTGACCAGAAATATAGCCTAGTGCGGTTGTATTTTACTTGCGTGCCTTGTGGCGTGCGTCCCTACTTCTCCCCCTCACACTCGCAGAATTTCATGTGAAATGTTCACGCGATATTACCGTAATTTTACATTCCGACTTGTAAAAACCATTCACGTCGTTGTCCTTTTTATGAGCCATTTTCCGAAGCTTTCTCGCTTCTCAAGACAGCGCCCCGTCCATCACATAAGCACAGCTCTTTAATTGCGCTCTAGTCTCTGGTCAAAGTGCTCAAACCACTGTAGCCTAATGTAATCTATTAACTATGCACATCATAACGTTTTAGGCAAGTAGGCTACCATATTATGACATAAAATATTTTAATAAGACTGAATTTATATTTAACCTGACCACATTTAATAAAAAGACATTTTAAGTTTAATTATAACACCGCATGTCCACGATTATTCAAACAACGAACAAATTATACAGCCAGCAAAGAACATTTACATTATCAAAGAATATCACTGAATTCAGTCTAGCCTGAGTGTAAGCACTCTAAAAAAGCTATGTTATAATCAGTGATGTTGTCTGCAGTGTATGATGAATTAATCTCTTATTTACATCGTATGTACATCGGCACTTTGTTGTTTCTGATGAGAGAATTCGCCAAAGTGCACTTACCAAAAATTTTGTGTATCAGCGATGTTAATATTGAGTAAAATCCCCTTAAATAATAGAAATATTAAAGAAAAAATGATTGAACTAAAATCCCAAATATATATTGGTTCGCATATAACTCTTCATGTGTATGTTAATCTATAAGAGTTTGGGCTGTTTAATATTAGGATTTTGTCAAAAATCCCCCACCATGGCCCCGCCCTGCAACATCAAGCCCCACCCCCCAGATAAATTTATTTATGGTTCTTTTTCATAAATACGGTTTACAAAAGGTCACGAGGGAGCAATCTGTTTCCCATCTACTGTAAAGTTTTCGCTGCGTTCACCCCTCATCACACCACAGCTGTTTCCTCCAGCGGAAATCTAGCCCTTAACACATATGAACGCATACTTTATAAAACAATCATGTTGATATTTTCATTTGAAAATTTAAATATTTAATATAAAACACATTACAGTGCATGTGGCATACCATACAGTAATTCACAGAACTGATTGTGACAGACAGATTGACAGAGATACAGTAGAAACATTATGTGTGGTTTTGTATTAAATATTGTTTTGTATTAAATAATGACCCAGATCATGAAATAGATTTATTAGCCTTGGAGTAAGGGAAGCACAACTCGGGAAATGAGAGCATCCGAGGAGCATGTTAATGCTATGTATATTTATTTTAAATATTTTTAATGTTCTTTAATGTTATCCATCTTTTTTTTTTCTGTGGCTCTTTTTTTTTTCTTTAAAGTATCGGTTCAGGCACCGGTACCGTTTTAAAAGTATCGATTTGGCACCGGTATCGTAAAAATCCCAATCGATACCCAACCCTACTGGTTTTTCACATTGGAGAAAAAAATCTGCCTTAAAACTTGAAAGAAATAAAAATTTGACATTTATCGTGATAATTATCGATATCGACTGATATGAAGTCGATCACCCAGCCCTACAAGTAACAGTCGCATTTAACTGTTAAAATAAAATAATAATAATCCACATTGGTGAAGTCACGCAGATAAATAATGGCTGGTCTATGAGGCAGTACATCAGGCAGGACATCCAAACGCTCGCCTATCATTCATCAACCTCAAATATGACTTATCATCTGAAATAAATAATGACAGAAAGTTAATTTTGGCCTGAACTAACCCTTTAATTTTAATCAGGGATACTGATATTTTGTTTTTCATCTCCAAACATACGTGATTGGATTTCTGACAAGTCTAAGTCCTTTTATGATGTTAATGTAAAGTGTTAATCATTTAAAGCAGATGCCCGTAAGAGATTTTAGGCAGTCCATCTCTGAGCGCTGAAGCGTCTGTGCTTTACTCTCCTCAGATACGAGTTTGAAAGACGGGCTCTTTCACGAGTTTAAGAAGTACGGTAAAGTGACGTCGGTGCAGATCCACGGCGCGTCGGAGGAGCGCTACGGCCTGGTGTTCTTCAGACAGCAGGAGGACCAGGAGAAGGCCCTCGGCGTGTCCAAGGGGAAGCTCTTCTTCGGGATGCTGATCGAGGTCACGGTCTGGAACGGCCCCGGTGGGTGTCTGCCGAAGATCAGTGCGTCACACTCTAGCGCTCGCTGTGCTTCGATGCTAAATCCTGACCTGTTTGCCTCCAACAGAGACGGAGAGCGAGAACGAGTTTCGTCCCCTGGACGGACGCATCGATGAGTTTCACCCGAAGGCCACTCGTACACTGTTCATCGGAAACCTGGAGAAGACCACCAACTATCAGCAGCTACTCGACGTCTTCCAGCGCTTCGGGGAGATAGTGGTAAGCTAGCGTGTTTGTTGTAATCTGTACTAGTGGTTATGAGCTGAAATTAAGTCTTGGAGAAGACATTTCTGGACTGAAAATCTGAGTTTTAACCTTCGTAATGCATTTGGGTCCATTTACACCCAGAAGACATAATTTAACATTTCTAAAAATGCATAGCTTTTAGTACTTTAGTAAAGATTTTTTACTTTTTGTTTTTTAAAGAGAGAGAAATAATTTAAAAAAAGTGACGTTTTGTGTTCAGGTCATTTTAACCAGGTATCAAATTTTTTTTTTTCGTAAGATTATTCTATGAAGTTATATTAGTCTAAAACAATTTTTGTAAAATATTTAGTCTTTTCCCCGCATCTCTCACACTTATGGGACTAAATTCTGTGCATCTATTGATGAACCAATTATTATTTTTTTTCATCTGAAAGTTAGTTTATGCAAGTAAAAAAAAAAAAGTAATATTTGTTATCTTGATGTTGTTTTGTTAGAGATGACTATGTAGGTTTTATAAATTTGGGAGGTTTATGAGCAATCTTGAATTGTAAAGTCAAAGGAATTTAAAGGGGTCATATGATGCGATTTCTAGTTGTCCTTTATCTTTGGAGTGTTACAAGATGTTTGTGCATAGATAAGATCTGTAGTTGCAAAGACTAAAGTCTCAAACCAAAGAGATATTCTTTATAAAAGTTCGTCCACTCTTTCCTAAAACGGCTCGTTCTAACATGCCCCACATGTCTACTTCAGGATGTGGGAAGATTTGCATAATGCCACCCAAATGTTCACGCAAAGAAAGAAGGCATAACTTTGATTCAACTTTTGTTGTCGTGGAGACGCTGTGTGTTTCCAAATATGGTAAGTGGCGTAACATTTCCGTCACATGCTTGAGGTATTCGGCCAATCACAACGCACTGGATAGCTGGCCAATCACAGCACACCTCGCTTTTCAGACGATGAGCTTTGTAAAAATCAACGCGTTTCAGAAAGGCGGGACATAGAGGAGCAACAATAATGTACAGTATGTGGAAAATAATGTTTTTTTTTTTTTACCTTAAACCGCATAAACATTTCATTACACCAAATACACCAAATAATGTTATTTTAAGCATCGTCATATGACCCCTTTAATTAAATTTATTAATTCCAATAGAGTTAATATCGGTAGTTTTCAGATTATATTTTCTTATAAATTAAAATAATGTATTCAAATCAAACTTCTCATCAATAATAATAATAAAAAAAGTAATAACGTGGTAACATTCAAAACGCAGAATTTCTTTCACACAAGTTACCGATGAGATACAATATGGTATTAATTTAAAAATTCATAATGATTCGGGTGTGAAAATAATGTAGATTTTGAATGCATTATGAGGGTTCAATTAGTCTTTGTTGGTAATAATTAGTATTTTAAGTTGCTGTTCTAATGCAAATCTCCAGCTAATGTTTAATAATTTAAAAACACGTTGACGCTAGTTCTGCCTGTGTCAGTGTGGATCAGTGTGATACTGATGGCCTCAGATTATACAGAAAGTGAGACACCATCTCATGTCACATTAATCACATTAATCGCGATTAGCATTCTGCAGTCTGTGGCTTAATGATTGATTCGTTGTTGCAGCCCTAATTTTACCATTTTTTTTCCTCAATGCCGAAGTTTCTCTTAGGCTGTCCGATCTGTCGTCTGTTGTGGTTTCTGTAACATTTTAACTCCAAAAACCAAAAATGCTTTAAAACCGGCCAAACAATTCTGTGCACAAGGGAATTCTAATTTTCCATCACTTACCGTGCTTTGAGTGGAAATGTATTGGTTTCTGTATCTTCTAAAGCATGTGTTTGTCGCCGTTGATTTCAGGATATTGATATCAAGAGGGTGAACGGTGTCCCTCAGTACGCATTTGTTCAGTACTCTGATATCGCCAGTGTCTGTAAAGCCATTAAGAAAATGGACGGAGAGTATCTCGGCGCCAACAGACTGAAGGTACTTATTACTCGCGTGTTCTTGCCAATGTGACTCTCATCAAACATGTTTATATTGTGTGTACATGAATATGTTCGAGTGAAATCAGACTGGATGGTTTCTGATGTGTATTTCTGGCTGTTACAGCTTGGCTTTGGGAAGAGTATGCCAACAGCGTGTGTGTGGTTAGACGGCCTGACCTCGAACATCACGGAACAGTACCTCACACGACACTTCTGTCGATACGGGCCGGTGGTCAAGGTAGACTTCTAGGATCTCTAGTCTGTGGAAATGTTTGACGTGCACTATATAGATTTTACTGGTGTTGCTTAGAGCTATACTAACTACTGGCCTCTTTTACAGGTTGTGTTTGATAGGTTAAAAGGAATGGCTCTTATTCTGTACAACAACACAGATTTCGCCCAAGCAGCTGTTAGAGAAACCAAAGGATGGAAGATAGGCGGGAACAAAATTAAGGTATGTTAGGGTTAGTTTTTGTCTCGTATTTACATCATATAGTTAAGCAATATCACATTAGTGCAAATGTGATACTGATTTTATATAACAGTTAAGTAAGTAAGAAGTCAATATTGTGTTATTTTAGACACAATGTTGTCTGTTTTGCTCAATTATGCCAACGAAAATATAAAGACAAAGCAGAACTGTTCGTCTCCGAGAAACACAGCTGCATTTCATTTCTTAATGCACGTTTTGAACGAATTGGGTGAATCATTAGGATCGGTCTGATGGTGATGGTCCGCTTCAAGTCGAACAAGCCTAATGATTCAATGAACCATTTATAAAGAACCATTTACTTCACTCCTGAATGAATCAGCCATTTGAACGAATCAAATGAATGAATAAATGACTCGATGACTTAATCATTAAGACATTTACCACCACCTACTGGCAGTTTTAGTTTATTATTTGGAGTATCATTTCATCAAAGAAATAATTTCATATTTCCATAGTAGTAATAATAAAAACTATTAAAGGTATAGTTCACCCACCCAAAAATTCAAATTTTGTCATCATTAACTCATGGTCCAAAAGAGTATATGTAATAAATTTTATGTTGAATCAAAATATTTCTTGCTGAAGCTACTTTTTGTAATGTCTGTTTGATGCTTTACACAACAATGACTTTAAATGATCTTTTGGAAGTAATTTCTCAGCCAAATTTGATGTGTGATTAATTTGCGATTAATTCGATTAATTAATCGCCACATCATGTCATTAATTAGATTTAAAAATTGTAATCGCTTCCCAGCCCTGATGTGTGTATATATAGCTATTTGTGTGTTGATTCAGTTATATAATGTGTTTGTTTCCTCTGTCCAGGTTGATTTTGCCAGTCAGGAGAGTCAAATGGCTTTCTATCGATCTATGCAGGCATCAGGGCAGGACATCCGTGATTTTTATGATATTCCTTCAGATCGGAGGTGAGCACTGCTTTAGTGGGGAAAAAAACATAGAAATTTACATAATTTTTTGCTTATGGTTTGCTTATCTTTAAGCAGTTGGTTATATTGTATGTTAAATACTGACCAAATCTTGTTTCATTTTGTCAGGGACGAACGGAGAACTCCTTATGACTTTTCCACGGAGCGAGCGTATTACGAGAACGTAAGGACTCCTGCCATTTACTCCGAAGACCCCCGTCGAGAGTACCCCGGTCGCAGTCGTGAGCGCTATGCAGAGTTAGATTATCAAGGAGAGCACTACGATCCCCGCTATCATGAGGACCCACGGGAATACAGAGACTATCGAGACCCTTTTGAGGACATCAGGAAGTACAGCTATATCCAGCGGGAACGTGAACGGGAGCGCGAGCGCTTTGAGGCGGAGCGAGGCCGATGGAGCCCGTCTCATCAGCGGCGTCCCCTGACTCCCTCTGCTTCGCCCTCACCATCGGACCGTGTGTCACGAGACGCCGAACGGCGCGTGTTCAGGCACTCCTCTGAAAGATCGGGAAGCTGCAGCTCGCTGTCTCCACCCCCGGGCAAGCCTCCGCAGGACGTTACTGATAATTCACCTCCAAGTAAGATCAAGAAACAAGAGTCCTTCGAGATGGATATGAATGCTAAGAGAGAAAGGATTTACCGAACGGTCCGGCAAAAGAGTGAAGACCTTGAGTGGAATAACACAAACTCTCCAAGGTTTCAGCATGCCCCCCAACAAAGAGAGGAAGAGTATGCAGACCCTCATGCTCAAATGACTGTGAGAGAAGTTAAAGAAGCATTGAAACCTGAGGATAATGCTCCGTCAGATCAGGAGCTTGGGGGTAAACGGATGCACGCCTCGCAGATGTCAAAGACGAGTACGTCTCTACAAGATGAGCAGCAAAGACGCTGGGAGAGTCGACTAAAGCAAGACTTGTTGCCAGACTTTACAAGGAGCGTTGAGAAAAGACGGCTCAATCAGAAGTACATGGATTATGGGCTTTGGCCTGATTTGGAACCTGGTGAAGTGCGTTCTGACTCTGAAGAAGATCGTGAAAATAAGCCCAACTCTCCTGCTCCATCAACGTCAGTATCCTTCTCTGAAAGACATCGTCCAGACAGATTATCAGAGTCCAAGCTGACGCCCTCTCTAGAGAGAAACAAATTCTGTTCTTTTGCAGATGATCAGACAATCACACCTGATACTAAAGCTTTGTTAGAGCGTGCAAAGTCTTTGTCCTCAACAAGGGAAGACAACTGGTCTTTCCTCGATTATGATTCGCACTTCCCCAGTTTCAGAAGTAGAAAGGACACAGAGAAGGTGGAGTCTGCACCACGACCAACTCCCTCATGGTACATGAAGAAGAAGAAAATTCGAAGCGAGTCTGATGACAAAATTCATGACAGGAAAGAAGATCCAAAGCCAGAAGAACAGGAGAGGCGAGAGTTGTTTGCATCACGTTTTTTGCACAGTTCTATTTTTGAGCAGGATTCAAGGCGTCTTCAGCATCTGGAACGAAAGCATGAGGACCCTGAGCATGGTGTTGGATGTCTGAACTCTCAGCAAGGCCCAGCAGAAGGGCAGCCTGACCCAGAACCAGTTGTGCTTTTCCATAGCCGCTTTTTAGAACTAACAAGGTTGCAGCAACAGAAGAATAAAGAACAAAGCCATCAAGATTCCAAGCAAGATGAAAGCATAGATGCAACCAGAGTAGACAAAACACCGGAGGAAGAACAAGTACCACAGCAGCAAAATGCTTCTGAACCTAGTATCCAACAAGCTGAGATCAAATCAGTTAGTCCTGTTCAGGTCCCTCAGACTAGTCCTGTTCAAGCTCCTCAAATATCACCCCCTGTTTTAGCATCCGAAGAATCCTTGCCAACAGTGGAAGCAGAAAGTGTTGATACTCCAACCTGTAATTTGCTCGATTCTGCTATGAAGGAGGAAGATAAAGAGCCTGAGCAGCCCACAGCTCAGCCATTGCAGCCTTTGCTTGAGCAACCCTCAGAACCCAATTCTTCAGAATGCCAGGAGTTGAAGATCACAGCGGAGGAGATGGCATTGAAGGCTGATGACTCTGAAAGTGCTCAAGACACCAATACAGTAGTTGCAGAACAGCTCCCAAGCAACGAAACACCAACCAATAATGCACAGCCAGAGGCTGAGCCTCCAGTGAAGTTTCCTGAATCACCAAGTCCCCTCTCGCATATCCCTGCTGAGCAACATGAAAAAGAACCTGAGCCACCTGTGGCACCTGAGGCTGAATCTAACAATGCAGATGATCAGAAATGTGCTGATAATTATCCAGTTGAAGAAGCTGTGTCACCCCCTCCAAAGTCAAGAAATAAAAGGGCTAAAACCTCGCCTACCACACCAGTAACTACAACTCTGCCTGCTACCCCAGACAAACAAAGCACCCGCAAAAGTGAGCGCATTGACAAAGAAAAGCTCAAACGTTCATCTTCTCCAAGAGGAGAAGCATTCAAGACAACACCTGATTCAAAGTCATTAAGTAAGTCACCTGTGCACAGCATAGAAATGGAACAAGGTACAGATCAAAATCCACACTCGGGTAGGGCAAGACGTAGAAATGTGCGTTCTATCTATGCTACACCAATTGAAGATGAAACTGCTCTGCAACCCGGAAAAGACGCCGAATTGCCTCGAGGTGCACGGAAGCGTGGTGTAGACAGAGATGTAGGTTCTGATGTAGAGGCTGTTGCTGCACCATCAACCTCGAAACGGGGACGCCCCCCTAAGAATCGACGCCAAGCAGAGGATGTACCAGCGGGCAAAGTCGAACAGTCAAAATCAACCGAGTCTAAGGAGTTGGATGGCAGTGAGACGAGCAGTGAGGGGGTTCCCAAAGTGGGTAAAGGCAAATTTTCACCCCCCACACAAAAAGGAGTCAGTTCAGGAAATGCATCAGCATCTGGAATCGGAAAGAAAGGAGACCAAATTGAGAAAATATCGGAAAGTCCCAAACTCATTACTGAAGAAAACCCTCCCATTCTTAAAAACCTTAGAATCCGTCTTGATGTGACCGAAGTAAAGGCAATGCTTCAGACTAGTGAAGAAGAACCTGGAACTGATGAGTCTCCCAAAAATAGCTCACCTGGTGTGTCCTCAAAGGATGAGGTACTAGAAGCTCAATTTGAAAATGATGCCATGGATGATGCAAATAGTGAAAACGAGACTTTGCCTGCTGCAGCAAAAGCCATTGAACCACATGTAGCTTCGCTGGCACGAGAGTTGGAGCTTGAGCAAGCTGTTGAGAATATTGCCAAGCTCACAGAAGATGCTACTTCCCTTCCATTTAAAAGTAACCTGACAAAAGCACAACGTTTGGCAGCTGAAGTACCAGAGCGCGAGTCAGAAGAAGAAAAGCCTGCAAATCCGTCTAGTGAAACCGAGCTTGCTGCTGCTATAGATTCCATCACATCAGAGAACACGGAACAAATCACAAACTCTGCTGTACAAACCGATCCTGATGTGCAGACTCTTAGACCCTGTTCAAAAGTATCTGAAACCTGTGTTAGCACAGCAGTCGTTCAGGAGGAGACCGTAACCACTCCTAGAAAAGGGTGTAAAGGCAGAGCAAAAACTTCAAAGAAGGGTAAAGGCCAAAAGGGTGCTGGAAGCAAAAAGGAACCCATCAAAGATGTAGTTTTGGAGGCTGAAAATATCCCTATGATGTCACCGGAGTCAGTACCTGCAGAACTTCCAGCAGCCACGGAAAGATCACCAGCAAGTACAGCTGTTGTCATTACTTCCTCTTCCAAGCAGGGTGTAAGTTTACCAGCTCCTAATGCAGACATTCCAAACGAACCCGAGTCGCCTCTTAAAACTGAGATGGATATCCCAAAATCCTCTCCAGCGATTAGCAGAAGCCCAACGTCATCCAAATACCAGCCTTATTCATACAAGAACACTTCTCCTTCACTATCTCCAACGAGAACTTGTCTCAAGAATGTGTCCTCATACCCAAGCAGGCTTTCTGTTTCCCCAACGGAGCGTTGCAATCAGCCGAAAGAAGCTGGGGTCCTCTCTCCTCCGCTGACCTCTGTAGCCCCGATGGAGAGCCCTACATTACCCTCAGACACCCCTGCTCATGACGCCAACTCAGGTGATTTGCGCAAAATCCTCACAAAGCCTAGAACTGTTCCAGTGTTGGAAATCTCTGCTACATCCGGGAATATGCACGCTCCTCCTTTAAAGGAAAGTGGCGCTACACCAGATGTGGTAACCAGCAAGAGTGCTCCTCAAGATAAGAGGCAACCCCCTGTTTCAGCCCAACCTGTAGTTCGACAGCCTGCTTCTATACCGTCCCCAGAAACTAAACATATCTTCAGTGAGAAGTCAGTGATTTCAGTTATTGCTTCCACTCCTACCTCCGTCATCAGTCGCGTTTGCAATCCCCCCGACTCCGAGGAGAAGCCAAAAGCTCAGATTGGAAATCCTTTTCTTGACAAACAACCTCCAAAACAGATTTACCAGCCAAGCTTGGAGGAAAGCAGTACGTACCATGGTCCAGCAGTTGGTGAGGAAGGTGGAAATGCCGGTCGCTATATTGTGGAGAGTACTTCTTTGAGTACAGGTTCCAGCACAGGACTAAGAGTTCAGACGTCAGAAGGTGTGGTGGTGCTGAGTCATTCTGGCCAGAAAATGGAGGGGCCACTGCGCATAAGTGCCAAAATCAGCCAGATCCCACCTGCCAGTGCTGTGGACATAGAGTCACAGCAGCTGGTGTCAATGCCCCAGATCAAGCAGGAACTTTACAGTGCCTCCCATCCGCCATCTTCAAAATGCCCACTTCCTTCAGATCACGGACATTCAATAAAACCCCAACCAAATGTCACCACGATTAAGCAAGAATCTGCACTGGACAAATTAGAATCTGCTTACGCTTCGGTTCAAAGTGGAGTTGTTAAGATACTGCAGCAAACGCCTGGCCCATCACAGGTCATGAGTTACCATCCTACAGAATACCCAATGGTGATGAAGCACCCTAAGAAGGGTGATGGGCCAGAGTCTCTCAACGTGGAGAAACCTGCTTGGGTCCCAACTATTAGTACTGCTTTAAGTCCACATCTTCCCTCGGCAGCAGGCAATCATGTTGGCACAGCAGCTGGTGTCAATGCCCCAGATCAAGCAGGAACTTTACAGTGCCTCCCATCCGCCATCTTCAAAATGCCCACTTCCTTCAGATCACGGACATTCAATAAAACCCCAACCAAATGTCACCACGATTAAGCAAGAATCTGCACTGGACAAATTAGAATCTGCTTACGCTTCGGTTCAAAGTGGAGTTGTTAAGATACTGCAGCAAACGCCTGGCCCATCACAGGTCATGAGTTACCATCCTACAGAATACCCAATGGTGATGAAGCACCCTAAGAAGGGTGATGGGCCAGAGTCTCTCAACGTGGAGAAACCTGCTTGGGTCCCAACTATTAGTACTGCTTTAAGTCCACATCTTCCCTCGGCAGCAGGCAATCATGTTGGCTTCATAACTGGCACAGCGACAGAACGAACACCGTCACTCATTCAACCCAAGCAGGAGCCGCGCTCTCCACGGAAATCCGGACATCCTCATTCTCCTTTTGCCAAAGTGTCATCTCCTATTGGCTCTTCATCTCCGAAAGGTGTGTCTATGGTCCTTCCCCCTGGATTGACCCCTCTGTCCCAGTTTGTTTCCACGGTCCACCACTCGGAGCAGTCTGTGATCATGCCTCCACACAACACTCACGGTAGCATTGGAAGGATGTCGCCACACCGCGTCGGCGCATTAGGACACCTCACCCAGGGTGAGGTACGAGTGAACACTCCTCCCCTCTCCATGATGAACTATGGGATTCACTCTGAGAGCCTCGCCTCCTCTTGGGCTCCTGGCCAGCAGCGACCCACATCTCCTCAGACCGTGGGAAACAGGGAGATGGTCCTCAAGGTGAACCCAGCCAATGCAAGACCGCCGGCTGCTCAACTCAAACCAGACTCCATACCAGCAGAATATCGTGGAGCTCTCCACAGCGGTTTACCTCTCGATCGATTCAACAGAGACATGCGAGTGCTCATGCACCACCAGCAGAGCGATCGCCCCGCTGCGGAGTTACACCAGGGGCACGTCACTGAGAACATACCGCGCTCCTCGACTCCTACCAGCATGGCGGCGTCTCTTTCTCCTCGGCCACACTTGTTAGCAAAGGGAGTATCTGAGAAGGACTCCTCAAAATCATCAGAACTAAAGAGGGCGCAGTCACCTTCCAGTAAGGAGGGAATGATGGCGATCCGTAGTGCAATGCCTCCCATGGCTTCTCCTCAAAGAGTTCAGCTGATTCCAGCAGGATCTGGGGCTTCCTTCACTGAATATTCAACCATGTATACAAACCTCCGGCCTGCCCACGCTCAGTTTGCTGAGAATTCCCCAATGGGGATTAACCAGTCCACACATAGCATCCCACCGTCGCAGGTAAGTTTGCGTATGCATCGTTTTAAAATATTTATTAACTTTTAGAGCTATGCTAATAAAGCTTGTGCCTTCCGTTTTCAACCAAGGGTGTTCAAGAGCCGGAGTCCAGTCAGGCACAAGCCGAGTCTAAGGTGGAGCTGGTTGGACACCAGCCTGTGAACATGGTGCAGCTTCTGACGGTGAGTCTCTGTCATCAACAACACACAGAAGAGATTTATTCTGTTGACCCAGTACTTCTGGTTTTTACTTGTCCTGCCAGTATTTTCACTGGCCCTACAACCCATTTAATCCCACCGGTCACAATAGTGACCGTAAAAAAAGTTTTAATTTATAAATCTCTAAAAACCTTACTGACTGGTGTTTTAGTGCACTTCCTGCAAATATGGAAAAAATAAAGGGTCTCAATTAATTATGTGCAGTTTCACATGATTAGTGCAGATTGTCACATGACCAGATCAGTTTACTTCCTGTTTGCACCTTGAGAAGATGATGACTGCATCAAAGCTTGCACCTTGAGAAGATGATAACTGCATCAAAGCTCCAAAACAAAAGGCTAGTAAAGTATGTCAACATAAAGATATGACAAAGATTTTTGGTACACATTATCTTTAAGGTGTGTAGTATTGATATATGAATTCACATATATTCAGTTTAGTTGAGTGTGGTCACAGAATGAGTAAACATGTTGTGACCGGTGGGATAACAGTGAATTTATCTATACAATATAAATCTAATTGCAGTTGTTAGTGAAAAATGCATTTAAATGTTGCAATCACAAAATATTGCATTAAATTAAAAGTCAAAATGCTACAAATAAGTTACAATATTGATGTTGTAATACTGGTAGCACTAATATAACAATTTGATGATACGTTACAAAAAAGTAACAATTTTGAAATGCGTTGATGGTTGTTTTTTTTGTCTTATCTCGGTATTCCAGCATATTCGTATAGTTTGTATTTGTATAGAGCTTCTTGCAATGCACATTTTCAAAGCAGCTTTGCAGGAAGATCTATTGAAACTCACTGGCTTTATTGTTGAACCCTGCACAGTGACCATGTGAAATATTAAGACACTTTATATCTGGAAGTTGTAGTAACACAACATTAACGCATGAACGTGTTCCACTAATCACAAACAGACATGTAGCCACACAACACTTAATTTCCAACCGTCTGTGTGCATTGGGAATGTAGAAGTAGACCGGAACCTGAAGACTTTGTGTTTGATAAACTCGTTCATACAGAAATACCCTATTGTGTGGCAAGGCCTGCTGGCGCTGAAGAACGACACGGCAGCGGTTCAGCTGCACTTCTTATGTGGAAACAAGGCTCTGGGCCTGCGCTCTTTACCTCTGCCGGAGAGTGGAGGGATTCTGCGCATCGTTCAGAGGATGAGGCTGGAGGCCCAGCAGCTGGAGGGAGTCGCTCGCAGAATGACGGTACGTGATATTGGAGCATTCGCTTTTCCGCCAAGAGTTTACATTCTGGTGCACTGTCCAAGAGGGCTGCCAATTCTATAAAACTTGTAAATGGGTTTAAAGGGATAGCGCATCCAAAAAAATAATAAAAAATATTGCTACAGTGTATTCACCCTTAGGCCATCCCAGATCAGGATGAGTTTTTCTTCGTCAGATTTGGAGAAATGTAGCATTGCATCAGTGTCTCAGCAATGGATGCTCTGCAGTGAATGGGTGCCGTCAGAATGAGAGTCCAAACAGCTGATAAAAACATCACAATAATCCACAAGTAATCCACAGCACTCCAGTCCATCAGTTAACATCTGGAGAAGACAAAAGCTGAAACTAATCCAGCATTAAGACGCTTTTAACTCCAATACATTGAGTCCATAATCCATAATAACGCTTCCTCCAGTGAAAAAGTGTTCTGGTCTGAATCAGGAGAGAAATCTGCACAGATCAAGCACCGTTTAAACGGCTCTAAACAAATATGTGGCTGGATTTTGATATGATTTGTTTCAGCTTTTGTCTTCTCCAGATGTTAACTGATGGACTGCAGTGCTGTGGATTACTTGTGGATTATTGTGATGTTTTTATCAGCTGTTTGGACTCTCATTCTGACGGCACCCATTCACTGCAGAGCATCCATTGCTGAGACACTGATGCAATGCTACATTTCTACAAATCTGACGAAGAAACAAACTCGGCTACATCTTAGTTGGCTTGAGAGTGAGCACATTTTCATTCCTTTAAAAATACTGCATTAAATGTGTTATACCTTTTGATGTAAACTGGTTTTGAGTATTGTAAACAATTTTTCACGACCATCTCCTTTTTTGCCATGAAGCTGTGTTCACCCTGTTGGGCTGAAAATGCTGTGTTTTCAGGGGGAAAGTGATTTCTGCCTGCTGCTGGCCATGCCGTGCGGTCTGGACCAGGAGGACGTGTTAAACCAGACGCAGGCGCTCAAATCTGCCTTCATCAATTACCTGCAGGCTAAACTAGCGGCCGGCATCATCAACGTCCCCAACCCCGGCTCCAACCAGGTGAGCGCTCGTCACGCAACGCGCGCTCGCTCTCACAGGCTTCGCACAAGCGTGAAGTACTTGAATTTGACTTTCTGAAATATAAGCACTGGAAAACAGACATGTTTAGGAAAAGGTACTTGAAAAGTACTTGAAAGGCAGTATATATAAAAGTAGTGTTAATTATTGTTTTCAACAAAAACAATCTTTTCTCGCAAAAGTAACAATGCAGCACGTCTGATATCTCGCGATATTACTCCTTGAGCTGAAAAGCGGTCTCGCGATATCAGTATAAAGTTGATTTTGTGGTAAAAACTTTGATAGTGCTTGCATTATATTGTTCGGTCTTTTATTGCATGTGCTGTTTGTCTGGGTTTCATTTGGGAACACGTATAAAGTCTGAGGCGCTTTGTGTTGCGCTGTTATCATTTACAAGCGTGCAGCTCAGTCCACAAACTCTTCCTCTGCATGTGCTGTGAGTTTGGGTTGCTTAACGTTCATCTGGGAAAACAGTGCGCGTTATCTCACTAGATTTATAACGTAAATCGTTTAGAAACCCATGCCAACACAGGAGAATATTTCTATATGCGATTTGTTGTACATCACGATTTCAAAGTAAAAGCTCAAACTCTCGCTCTGAGTTTGCACGTGACCAAATATTAAAATTAAATGGATTTAAACATCGTTGAATCACGCTGTGAAGTGAAAAGCCGCCAGGCTGTTAGCGCCCTCTGCAGGTATCTGTTATAATACTTAAGTGGGTTATGTTCATATTATGTATATGCACATTACTTCAAGTATTTTAACAGTGTTGTTCAACAAAAGCTTTTGATACTTTATTCGAACCAATTATTATAACTGTCTCATCGTTAGTTTAATATATATATATATATATATATATATATATATATATATAAATGTAGTCGTACTAAAGCCTGTTTTTCATTTAGGTCTATTTTTATTACTAAAAAATATCCGATTACTCGCTTGTCAAAATAATCAGTACTTGATTACCAGAATAATTGTTAGTTACGGCTCTACATTAGTTAAGATATTTCAAAATACAACTGTGTTGTTTTGATTTGTGATTAAAAGACAAATATTTTGTCATTGAAAATTTCTTAAAAATAGTATTCAAATATCGTCTCGTTCTAGTGAACCAAGTATATCTGTATTTGGTCTCATCTTGTGAGCTAAGTGTATGAACGTGATATAGCTCATAATTTTCCAAAAGCTTTTACTCTTCAGGTTATTCATGAAAAAAATCACTTTGAATAAGGAAAGCGATAGCTTTGTCATAGTATTCTTTCAAATGTTGAAGTTGCCACGTGCCGTATTTGTACCATTTTGTTTTGTGCTTAAAGTCCTTTGAATGTCATGTAGCAGTTCCTGTATGAACCCTGTTCTGGGCTCTTTTCCCTCCACACAGCCTGCGTACGTGCTGCAGATCTTCCCTCCGTGCGAGTTCTCCGAGAGCCACCTGTCGCGCCTGGCTCCGGACCTCCTCAGCCAGATCTCCAGCATCTCTCCGCACCTCATGATCGTCATCACCTCCGTCTGATCCTGTGTCTGCGGTGTTTGTATTTATTCATCCGTTTCATTCTTCTTCATGGAAACGCAAACAACATGTCTGGAGGGGTAGGCGACGTTCTCTCCTCGTTTGCTGATCTTGAGTCTATTTTTTGATGAGCGAATCATAGAAGTTATTGTAAGAGGAATGTGTGTTTTTAGCGAGTGGCGTGGATCGATTGGACGCCGGAGATCGCTCCCATCGACCGGCAGCAGGCAAACAGGATCATGGAGCTTCTGCTCTGCCGGACTGTAAATATTTTAAATATTTAAACCGTAGGCCAGATGACCCAAACCCGCCTTCCGCTGCGGACCCAACTCAAATCAGTAGAGATCCAGCTGTGTTTGTGATGTAAATACTCCGGAGACACTTCGCTGGGTTTGATGTGGCCACTTCAAATTTTCTTACTCAAATAATAAAAAAAAAAAGTCCATATAACTTTGTCACTCTCTTTCATTTAAGCCTTTATTCAGGAGAAGTTACAAACAAGTGGATTACACTGAAAAAAAAAGATTTTCTTAGTGTTTTTGTTTTGTTTTCTAGTCAAGTAATTGCTGCTTAATTCCAGAATTAGTAGATATTTATACAAGTAAAGTGACTCGAGATTAGTGCTGTCAAACGATTAATCGCATCCAAAATAAAAGTTTTTGTTTACATAATATATAACCCTTGAGCACAAAACCAGTCATAAGGGTCAGTTTTGTGAAATTGAGATTTGTGCATCATCTGAAAGCTGAATACATAATCTTTCCATTGATGTATGGTTTGTTAGGATAGAACAATATTTGGCTGAGATGCAACTATTTGAAAATCTGGAATCTGAGGGTGCAAAAAAATCTAAATATTGAGAAAATCATCTTTAAAGTTGTTCAAATGAAGTTCTTAGCAATGCATATTACTAATCAAAAATTAAGTTTTAATATATTTATGGTAGGAAATTTACAAAATATCTTCATGGAACATGATCTTTACTTAATATCCTAATGATTTTTGGCATAAAAGAAAAATGTGTAATTTTGACCCATACAATGTATTGTTGGCTATTAGGCCTGTCGTGATAATTAAATAACAGTCTAATCGCGATTATTTGATCTAAACGCGGTTGTTTCAGACAACCGCGATTATTGTGCTTTTCATACCAGACAAGGGGGAGTCATACACCAAAAGAAACAGAAGAGCACCAGTTTGCTTTTCATGCACTGTATAGCCTATACAGGGCTCCAGACTCATTCTTCCCACTGGTCGCTCTTTTGCAACTAACTTTCCCAGCTGGTCGCACGAGCACATGATTTGCTCGCAATATTTATTTATTTATTTTTTGCGCTACAACATGGGATTATTCAATGCGTGCTGATGAACTTTTATCATAGTTTATAGTTATATCCCCCCACAAGAATACCAGCATGTTCTTCTTCTCTGGTTTAAGAAGCGGTCTTTTACTTGACTTTCGCTTGAAAACTGTCCATCGTTTGCTAAATATGTGCGTCATTTTTGCTGCGCACAGCTTCGGGCTCGTGCTGACGCGGCGAGTATACTCTCTAAGCGCTGTTTCGTTATGCTTTCAGTTTCGTTTGCCGTTTGATGTTTCTCATATGCAACAGAAATTGCAGCGCTTATGAGTTGAC